CTCATCTATCACGGGACAATATAGTAGCATATATGAGGCTGCTTAACTTGGCATGCAAAGCCCCTGGCATTTCAGGAGAAGAAAATCTCTGAAATGAAGCGTGAGTCAAGAGTCAACCATGCATCAGATGTTAAACGAAAATAACAGAAGAGAGTCCCAGCAGGAGCATGAACCAAGGCAAGAACAGATCGGTCTGGACTGTGGGCCTTGAGAAAATGATTCCAGCTAAAAGAACTAGTCAGGATGTATGATGTATGACCTTCAACAAATAAGAAGAGAAAGTGCAACTCATTAAATGCTATGCAGATGTAAACAGACTGATGCAATAAATTGGCTAAGAGAATGCTCCATGGAGGGTGGGGGAGTATGTAAGGCATGTGACCATTGCATGGTGGGTTGGTTAAAGGAGGCCTAGAGGAGCTGTAGAAAGAGAGATTGGCAAAAAAAGTCATAATGAAGCCAAGCATTGTAGACAAAGCAGTTCTAAAGCAGTCTCTTCAGAAAGCCTGTTGAATGCAGTGTGCTCTAGGGAAAGTGATATGTAGCTTTGCTGACATGTGCTTGCTTACACCAGGTTGGAAATAGCATCTAGTAGTGGTGTGTGTAGATGGAATGGGGGCCCTAAATTGAAGTGCTGGGTTTTAAAAAACACCACTTCAATTTAGGGCTGATTAAACCCCCATGTCATGCACACACCCCGCTGACTTACCTGCCTCTCCGATGGGGAGGGAGGGGCTGCCAGTGGGCAGAGAGGTCCCTGGGCTGCAGGGGTTGGGGGCCTGGTGCTTCCCTCCATGGTGCTTCCCTCCACAGCAGCAGCGGGCCCCCCCACCAGGCGGCACCCACCCACAGGCATCTGGCTTGGGTGGTCCCGGGGACAGTGCAGCCATGGAGGGAAGCACCGGGGCCCTGCGCAGCTCAGGCAGGCAGGCTCCAGGGGGGAGTCAAAGGAGTTTTAGTTTGCTGCACCCCAAGTTATTTAAGGTGCCGAGTTTCCTACAGCAGCTGGAATTAACGTGCAATACACTGCTGAGGCATGCAAACACCGACACCATTAAAGTGGTGCAAAAGCACTTAGCCCGCTTTAAAGTGTTGCGCGCACACCTCTCGTTTCATCCACACACAGCCTAGGCTCTACAACGGGGGTGGGCAGAATCAGGCTCACCAAGTGATTTTATCCAGTCCGCAGTGGGTTCCTCAGCCCTGCCCGGCCCACACACGGTGGGCAGCCTGGGCATACATAAGCAGTCCCACTGTCCCCAGGCGCACAATGGGGCTGGGTGGCATGGTGGCCAGACTCACTTCCTGGCAACCCTGTAGCAGCAGCTCCTTCCAGCTGCTGCTGCCAGTCTCTGCCACCACAACCTGGCCTCACTGCCCAGGCACCCCAGCCTGTCCACCTTGCACCCACTGCTGGGGGCACCTGATGGAGTGGGTGGGTGGTGTCTCCATGGAGACTGGCCCAGGACTGACTCAGGCAGGGCACGCTTGGTCGGGTGGCCATGGCTGCGCATGGAGCAGCATCCTGGAGCAAGATGGGCAGGTAGGGCTGGGACTGGGATTGTGGGGCAGTGATAACATGGGCCCAAGGCAGAGCTGTAATCTGCTCCGTGCATGCCGCTGCCTGCAGTCCTGACTCTGATCCTGATCCCGGCCCCACCCTTCTGTCCTACACCCAGATGCCGCTCCCTTCCCGCCCATGGCCCCCTCCCATCTGCCCAGCCAAGTACACCCTGTTTCCATGGGTCCCGAGCCAGTGTCCCTGGAGACCCCATCATCACAGTGTGGTGGCAGTGTGGGGCCAGTGTGGGGCTCTGTCCTAAGGCCCCAGGGCCGAGCCGCTTGGGGAGTTTTGGTGAGCTGTTGTGGGGTGGTGGGGGCCAAGTGCTGACCTGGCCCACAACAGCTCACCAAAACTCCCTAAGTGGTCCTCTAGCCCAAATAATTACCCACCCCTGCTCTACAAGGTCTGTGTTATAAAGACACTGCCCAGGAAAGCCCCCTTCCCTTCCCTTGCCAACCCTGGGTAGTGACACACGTAAATATGGCCACAGTTATTCAAGGCTGGGGTATTTGAAAGACAGCTTGGGTCAAAACCCACTGCCTGGATTATGTCCAGGAAAGTCACTGGATTTCCAGTGCAAGAGAAAATGGAATTTGGCTCCAAGTTATTGTATTATGTGGCCTATTGACACTGAATCAGTAGGAATAATTAAGACATGCACTCAACAGGTCTGGGTAAAACCATATCCCTGTCCTTGTCCCTTGTCCACCCTTCCTTTGTTTTCTTATAATCTCTTGTTGTATCTTGCTGTAAATTAGACTGAGATGTCTTCTGGGGCCAAGTTCTCTGTATGTTTCTACAGCAGCAAGTACAGTCCTGTCTGGTGCTATTGCAGGAAATGATAGTAATATACATAGCTGGGCTAGATTCTCCCTACTAAGATTGCTGTTACCATTTGTCCTTGGACCTGACTACCCTGGGTGACCTCAACACAACATGCATGGCTGCAATCCAACTGTCTCCTCTGACCTCTGTATTAAGACAGCAGCTTAAGATGTTGGTACCAACAACACAGCTGCAGAGTGAAGTACCATTAATAGATGTGCCCAGCTCTTGCAAAACCCCTCCTTTAAAACAGTTCGGGAAAGAAGCCACCAAGTCTGCTTCTCTGGGCCATAAACTGTTTTTCTGTACCTTGGCATTGCTCGGTGGTAATAAAGTGAGTCAGAAAGGAGCATGGGAGGGTATGGAACTCAGTAACAACAGTGTTTTGTGCACTGGAAATAGCTGTATCTGAATCACTGCACTTATTGGAGGCAGGATGATCTGGACAGAAGCAACCACATGTTCAGAAAGAGGGTCCTGCCTAATTGAATCTTTATATTTGCATGTTTGTTTAGATACAGTGATTATTGGCTAAATGATTTTCTTAATTACCTCAGGGTAAACATAGAATAACCTCATTAAAGTTGTATTTAGTTCTCACAGAGCTGTGTCCCTGCATGGAAAGGCACTTTATGCTTCCTTGCTTCTTCATGCCCCACCTCTCTCTTTCATTTCACTCCCAAAGGACAGAATATTCCTGTGTTTCCCAACAGTTCTGCCATAAAGCATCAGCTTGTCCCTTTCCAGTGTAAACGTCATCAGCTTGGGCTCTCACCTGTTAACTTTTTTTTTCTGGATTGAAATTAACTCCACTGAGAGCAGAATTTAGTCCGGTGTGTTTGAATCAGTTATTTGCATCAGGAGTCTGTGCTCCTGCACTTGCTCATACAGTCTGTGTGTTTAAAGCACATCTTGGGGATGAAAAGCAGGTGGAAAGTTCCTATGACACCATGAAGGAACTTCAAGAAGGATAGAAAAGAGAAGATTTTGAAGTCCCAGGAAGAGGAGGTGAGGGCACCGAGGCACTCATGGTCAGGCAGAGATGGGAAGCTCATATGAGGACAGCCTGTGAAATATGAGCCCAGCCTGACTTTCAGATCCCAGGCTGCACTTGCAGAAGGTAAAAATGTTTGCTCTTCTAACTGGAGCCATTTTGCTCCAGAGTTACTGAGAGACAAGACACATGTCATTCTGACAAAGTCACTTTCCAGATTTGAACTACACTTTACGAGGAATCTTTGCCACTGAGTTAAATTAAGCATTGTCAATCTTTCATGAATGCTCGAAGGTCAAGTACAGTGTCTTATGCCGATTCATCCCGTGTTTGTAATTCAATCCCTGGACAGTCTTCCTCTTATAACCTTTAAATGATTGAAAATAATATTTTAAAAAGCTCAGTGGTAGGTAGGGGAAGAAAGAGAGTGAAAAAAACCAGGGAGAGTGAGAGTGGTGAGAAACAAGGAGAGTGAGAGTAGATGAATGAGTCCATGAAAAAGAGCAGGCAGCAAAAGAAAGTGTAGATGAGAAGGAGAGAGATCTAATGACAGAAATTAAGAGGATGGGGGAAAAAAACACACTATGATTTGGTGGCACATGAATTCCACTGTGAAGTTTAACCTTCTGCTGCAAACCTGAAAACATTTGTTTTCATTCTTCATCTAAATGAGAGGTTAAGAGCTGAACTAGTGATGAAGTATTCAGGTCAGGTGAAACACTGAAGTTTTCAGTTTTGACTGTTTAAATATTTTTTTTGTTGAAAATAAAATTCATGAAATGGAAAGCCCTTTCAAAATGAAAAATCAAAGCATCCCATTCTGGGAACATCAAAACAGAATGCATCAACATTTCCAAATGCTTTGGTTTGGGAAACACAATGTTATCAAAATGAACTTTGTTCCCACAGAAAGTTCTGATGCCAATGAAATAGCATTTTCCACTGGAAAATGTTTCTTGGGAAAAAATTGGACCAATTGCAGCTGTAACCCCTGAGGAATGGTTAAAAGCTGATTCACAGAAGTGGAGAAAGACTCTGATTTTCAAAATGGTGGAAAGATTTTCATTGTTTCAAGAGACCCATTTTCCACTCTAGGGAGGGGAACAGTGTAAAATGTGGTTGACCGCATAAATGAGGAACTTGGACAGAAAGGCTTTGAACTAATGAGAATGAACATTAGGAGCTGAGTTCCCTGGAAAGACAAAGTAATATGTAGGATGGAGTCCAAGTAGCATCAGACATTTGCTCTCAAGGATGCCAAGACACAGCACGGGGGGTCAGATTGCTTTTTGGGCCTCCCTAAACTATCTCCTGGTCATCACAGAAAAGAGTCTCTTTATTATTATCTCCTGGACCCAACACAGATCTGCTTGTGCAGGCACTGAGGGAAGGTTGAAGCTGTTCAAGGTGGGGTTTGGTCACGTGATGTGCAGGAGACCTGGAGAGAAGAAGGGCTGCTATCTGTGTCTGCTCTGCCTTAGGGTTATCAAATGAAGATCCACAGCAGCCTGTTGCTGTGGAGGTTGCATAAATAAACACATAAATAAGTAGATAGATGTCATGCACTACTGCGCTGTTGACTAACCCTTGGCAGCCCTGCTAAAATTAGCCACTTACTGCGGATCTCAGCTGTAGCGTACTTTGGAATCATGGAGTCCATGGTGAGCTCAGGGTGGAGGATGCAGCCATGAGTGTAGGCATCCATTGGCAGCGAGTCCAGGATCTCTCTGTACTGCATCACTCTGGAGTGAAGAAGGCTCCCCGGTTCAGGGATCAGCTGGGCGACATTTTCTGAAATGCAGAAGCACATGGCAGCATGGGTTACCGTAAACAGTAGCAGCCTGTCCCCATCTGGCTTGATTGTCTTTGGGCCATGGGCTGGTAAAGATTCATCTGGAGTGGCTTTTATTAGTTCCTGTTTTATGACACCACTTCATGCCTAGCCGGTGCCAATTCTGATAGGAGATGGGAATAGCCATGAAACTATCAGTTCAAATGGTTTCCCAGAAAGTTGAAGTTCAAGTGAAGTGACCCCAGGGATCAAATCCAAGTCATCTTGTCAGTCAAGTAATCCTGCTCTGGGATCTGCTGTCCCTGCTTGCATAATGACTGTGTGCCTTGCTCATGTACAGTGCGCTGCACATGGAGCATGACAGTTCAGTGCCTGGTTTCCATAGTTAGTGTGTACTTTGGAGCTGCCACTGGGTTTCTGGTAGTTGTTTCATTCAAACAACAGGGGCTCCATTTTTTTCCTAGCAAAAAACACTGAACTCAAAGCATCTCTCTGCATCTGCGGGGTATTTTCTCAGTCCTCTGCATATGTAGGCAGCAGACATATTTTACAGTGCTCTCTATTCCAGGTAGAATCTCTCGGCTAATCAGTACCCTTGCCTTGGACAAGTGCCACTTCTGAGCCAATATGTCTGCTTTAGCTTTATGCTAATGTTTGCATTGTCCAACACCCAGAGTCATAACACTTAATAATAACCACAATATTTGGCACTTACATAGAGCTTTACATCTTCATATTTCGGCACAATAGATACCAAAAGAGCAGCTGGGGCTGCGTTATGTATTGTGTCATCACCCCAGCTCTGACAACACTCTGCTTGCTGGCTCCTTCACTGACAAATTTTAAGATCCTTTTCTTATAAAAAAAAAAAAAAAATGCAGGTTTTTTGCCTGGTTTTCAAATTTGTCATGGGCTAGACTGTTTGCACTGGCATGCATTCACAGGTAATTACTGTGAATGCATATGCAATCACATGCAAATAGACATGCTGTTCCCTCTTGATATTGTGTGCACGGATTAGGCACACAGTTGAACATGCATCTTTGCCTGCAGGCCTTTGCTTCTGGGGTTTTTTTGGAAATCAGTCTTTCAGAGCCTGAAACTTCCATCTGTGGGAAAGGTTCAACCCTTGAGCACCTCACCAAAAAAAACATGTTTGTCTTCCCTCTGAGGGGAAAAAAGGATTCCCATTTTGCAGCTGGAAAATGAAGCCCAGAGAGATGAAGGTTCTGAAGAACCTAACAAGTTAAGGGACCCACTGAATCCATGGTGGTTGGTACCAGTTATCTTGGGCATCCTAAGTGCCTTTGCCAGGCCCTGACAGAAAGACTGGCAGAGCCAGGAATCAGGCTGAGATCTCCTGAGCGCCAATTCAGTGCAGTAACCATAAGGCCACTGCTCCTCTGCAGTCTGGAAATAGTTCCTAAGCTAGTTGTGGTTCCTCCAGCTTTTGTTTCGATATTTAGTAACTTCACCATTTATGGGTTTGTTTCTGCTGGTTCTTTCCACATGGGTAATACAAGCTTCAGGTGACAGTTTGTGTCACTCATTTTATTATATAGAATCATAAATAATTGGTGTTGGAAGGGACCTCAGTAGGTCATCTAGTCCAACCCCCTGCATTGCTAAAAATACTGAAAGGAGGATGCCAGAATAAGGAATGTTTTCCCCCCGCCCCTGATAATATCTGGGCTGTTTTTATAGACAGACAAATGTTTATGGCTTTTGCAGATAGCTTCTAATAGGCAATGAGTGAATTTACCACAGGGGACTCTGTTAGCCCATGTTGTCCATATGCTGTCTGCAGTGCAGAGCTGACTTCCCAAGTTTCAATGAGCCTGTGTCTTGATCTGGGTTAAAGTAATTATCTACAGAGAGATTTTGTTGACATTGGCTATTGGTTCTTCTTAATTAAGGACTTGAGCTGACAGTCCTGCTAATGGCATGTAGCTCTATTGAAATCAATAGGAAAAAACTGCAGGATCAGACCTGAAATGTCTTTTTATCAAAGTGGTAGCATTGGCCAATTATTCTGGTACAGGCCATGTAGCAGCTGCCAGTACCTACAGAGTAATTTCCATCTGGACACAGCACCAGTGAACTGGCAGGGCTGGTTGTTGCCTTGCAAACCTTAATACTTCTGAATGCGGGATTCTCAACAGCTAACTAAAGGGCTGGGTTTGTGCCTGCCCCTTCTCATGTAAAACTCACTGTGGATACCAGCATGGCTCTGTGGCACCAGCACATACTTGTATACCTGTATAAGGGGGCCTCAAGGGCTCCTTTCAGTGTTTTCTCAGCTCTTCTTTCAGCAAACTCACACTGAATTCTATGGGAATGTCTGAACCCAGGACCCGGACCAGGGCTCTCTCTATAGTACGCCTTCACACTGGAAAGAGGATCAGGCTTAGGAAGGAAATAGGAGCAGGTAGCACATCAAAAGTGCTCTGTATCATGGAGCACAGATCAGATACTAGCTAATTAGACTTCTCAGCCTCCCTGTGAGGTGGACTGGGTAAGTGCCACTAGCAGCAAGGAGACAGGCTTGTCTTGAGACGTAGGTGAACTGCCTCTTCCACAGAAGTCTATAAATCTAGACTGTATAAAGAACTCGTAAACGTGCTGGAGGGAACAATTATGCCTTGGCCCCCAGGGATGGATCCAGATGGAGCTAAATGAGGCATCTCCATCCCCGGTTTCCCTGAGTTGATTACATTAAAGCTATTCAGGTTGAATTGGGCTCCAGCACTGCTGCGGCTTGAGCTGATGTGAGAAATTTTTGTGGGTGCTAAGGACACTGTTTTGGGGCTGACGGCCCCTCAGGAGCTGTTTGTTGATTTCTGTGCTGCTTCTGTACCAAAAGCAAAGGAGCAGATCCCAGCCCAGAACTGGGGCTTTTCATTGAGAGAAACCACCCACTGAATGAAATAATAATAATGAACCTGTAGTGTACACACTCCTTCCATGTGGCTCCTGGCCAGTATCCTATCAGTTCATGCTGAGCTTCCAGTGCTGGAATCCAACACATTCAGAACAGCTGTCTCTTTGAGCAAGGGTATTCAGTGACTACATCCTTCAGCTGGTGTTGGAGGCATTAGCTCACTAAAATAGCTCTTACTCCACCTTTTGCACACTGAATCAGCTTTATGTGATTGGCCTGAATGCTGCTGATGCTATGGCATATGTAACCTTTGCTGGTAACTAATGGAGCTAAATTACGCTTCAAACCTTGGATAAAATGAAGCCCTGTAAGAATTTATTGTAAAGGGCATTTGCAGGAATGGCATTTTTATGGAGTGAGTGCCTTATTTCATCTTCAAAGATCTGGCTTTGCTGCAATCCTCTCTATGGCTAATGTAGTCTGGAGATTATTGTGAAGTTTGTTAATATAGCTAATACCACTGACCCTCCCAGCTGAGTCTGCCTAACCTTCCCAGGTACCTTCACAGTAGCACTTCTCGGGGAAGTGTATTATTAACTGAATTACAAAAAAGCCCCACATACTTCTAGGTGAGCAGCTGTTCACACAAGGGGTGCAACTCTGGCAGGTGCAGAGTATACATTCATTGTGGAAACTAGGCACTGAAGCATCACTGTGGTGTGGGTGCTAAGGTGCATGGTTTCATAGATGTTAGGGGCTAGAAGGGACCCTGCAGATCATCGGGTCCAGCCCCCCTGCACTTGGGCAGGAAAGACTGCTGGTTGACAGCCTGGAGGTCACAAGTTTGTAGGCCATAGCAAAAGTGCTCATGGCACCACCTTGTCAGATTCCAACAAATCTGGCTAAATACCTTGTCACAAAGTTATAAATACCTTGCCATAAGGACACAAAAAGGAGGACTGTGATGAAGCATGCTATTTAAGGCCAGCAGAGAAAAATCATTGCAAACTGGGGGAGGCTCGTTAAAAAGAAAATTCTTCAACTTTTTGGGAGGTCACAAAGCAAACATTTTAATTTCCAGTATCCACAATAAAAGAAAAATATTCAGGTTGAGCCATTTCACGTTTTAAGCAACTCGCTCAAAAATGTGAAGAGGACACAGTAGACCTGACTGCCTGGCCCAGGAGATCCCCTTCAGCCCCTCACTCCTATGTCCTATGAAAATGAAGCATTTATTTTTTCAATTTGCTTATTTATTTGGGGAAGGAAAGAAAACTTTTCTGAAGCCATGGAACTATATGTGCAACCATAAGCACATATTTAATATGAAAAGTAATGCTACTGCTCAGTAGTCACCTATGAACCGGGATCCCTTTCAGCTAAACACAGATGTTTTATGCCTTCAATAATCTCATCATCATTACAGTATCTGAAGAAGTAAGCTTGTTGTTTATGAAAGCTTGTGTCTCTCTGAATTAGCCTATAAGGTACCACTGCTCTGCCAACTGCCCAAAATACGAGTGAATTTTCAGGTAATGCGTCTGCAACTTCAACATACAATTGTGCATATGTTTCAAAAAGTCACGTCTATAATATCATTAGAGCTGACATAACTTCTCGGTCTCTCCCTTCTAACCTTTGTCTGGGGACTCCCAAGATCTATAAATATCTATCTTTGGGAGCTGTTTCATCTGAAAGGCTTAGTTGATGCCTCTTGCTAGTGACAGGCTGCTATCACATATGCTAGGCTACCTTCTGCCTGCATTTTTGTATGTGTAACCCTAATGGAGAGTAGACCATGTAAAATCATACACATACAGTGGCACTGTGGGGATTTAAAATAAAGGGGAATTGCAAGAATGAAACAGATAACAGCTCATGGCTGTGGCCTGTCATTGGACAATTCTGGGCTGCTTTCTGGTACAAAAGCAATAACCCCCTTTCAGGAGGAGCTGGGAGGGGGCAGCAAGGTCTCCCTCTACATCTGTTTGTGAAGCTCTGGGGATTCAACAGAGGCCAGCCCATTCTGCTAAACCCAAATTAAAGCCTCACTGTCAGTGGAGAAATGTTCTGCATCTGAATATCAGCTCTGGAAGAAAGGAGCTGGGTTCTGGGAGAGGACAGAAGCTAAGCTTCCAAATTGCCCTTGTTTGGAATCTATTTTAAGGCAAGTTCTGACATTTCTCCCCTCCTGAGGTGACAGGTTTTGTGATGCCACAGTTAGACTTCCCCCTCCTGCTTTTGAAGTGTTCCAGCTTGATTGTCCTGGTCTGACAGCCCTGAACTTGCTAGCTCTGAAAAATGAGGGAAACCACTGAAAAAAGAAATTTTGGGGAAGTGCTGGAGACCTGTCACCTGCAGCTCTCACCTCACACCCTGGTTCACAGCACTCTGGGGTGTGACACTTTGGCCAGGTGTCAGGGGGAGGGCAGGGGCCCTGCCACTAACCAGGCTACCTCTGAGTAAAGCAAAAGATTCACCCTCCAGCACCAGAAATCCCAATTTGTTCCCCAACAGTAGATTCACCCAAAACCAAAAATACATACCCTCATTTCTCAGCTGACACCTATCTTGGGCATCCCATGACAGCTGCCACTCGCATCTTTTTTTTTTTTTCCAAACTGATGATTTACAAACGGGTCCTCAGGCAGGAATCGGGGCTGCAATGCGGACTCAACAGCTCACCACAGGTGCGATTTCTCTTTCTACACACATCTAAGGAGAAGAGCTGCAGGCTTCTGGGCAAGTTGGAGCCCTGTGCTGCTGACCTTTGGCAGGCCATTAAATCTCTTTATGTGCACTGCAGTCAAAGCCAAAGCTGCTCAGTGAAGGTCAACTGCCTGAGTGTTCACCCAGCTTTTTGGGCAGGCTTTGCACCCTGCACTGACTTCCATTCTATGCCTATGCTGCTGCCAGTACCCAAACTAGCCTGGGTTTGTCTACATGACCTGTGCTCATAGCAGTGGCGATACACCCTAAGCCAACTGCATGGGGTCTTGGTGCCCTTCCCTCCTAGGCATCATACTCCAGCTTCCAGAGGGGACAGCCTGACACAGTCAGACGTTCTCCAGGTTAGGTTCTCACACTTCGCCCTGTCTCAGACCAGTGTTAAGCACAACATCTTAGTGACTCTGCCTCCAAGCGAAGAGAGGTGGACATGCTTGTCAGTATTTATATAAAGCCAGAGATGTGCATGGTGTTTTGCATGATGGGGTATTCATAAGGACAAAGCCCTTGCCCTTAAGTGTGATAATCTAGAGATGAGAATAGCAGGAGGAGAATTAAACATGAGGCAAGGAAACGAGAGGGTTAATGGATGTGAGAATAATGAAATCATGCTTAGGATGTTAATAAGTGAATCTTTAGAGCTGAGTGCCATGCACAGGATTAGCACAGCTCTCACTCAGAGACTGATCCCTGTTACCACTCCATAAACATTTTCAGTAAAAGCTTTATCAAATGCATAACTGTAAGACACCAGCATATGAAATCAGTCACCCTGCCCAGCTGCGCGTGGACACTGGTGTCTCAAAGCAGCTTGGCGGCAGGACAGGAACTTCTGAATCCTTCCGGGTCAGTGACAAAACTCTGCAGTTCTGTTATGTTTAAGTAAAACTGAGCAAAACCCATGGTTGGCTTTGATTTTGTCAAACCTCATGGGCATGCCTTTGGTTTTACTAAACCTCAACCCCTGGCTGGTTCAGAGCTGTAGAGTTTGTAGGGGAGGGAGGGGTGATATTTTTTCCAGTTCTTCTCCATCTCACTGTGCAGATGCTCTCATCATGAGGATGCATATAAAGGGTCAAGGGTGTCTGCCTTGGAGATGGGGCGGGAATTGGAAGAAGAGTCTAAAACTGGAAGCAAAGTCAAAAAGCATCTCTCTCTCTCTCTCTCTCTCTCTCTCTCTCTCTCTCTCTCAAAAGTTAGATGAGTTCTTTGTCCTAAATCATTTCTTCCGCCCTTGTCCATTTTGGTGGAGACCAGAATCAAAACCACTGCAAAAATACTGCTGATGGGACATGCAACCGAGTCAAAATCTAAAGGACCTGGAAACCTGAGAAATGTCTGCTCTTGGGACTCTCAAACAAGCAGGTTGGGACAATGTCATCAAAGCCTGCCTGCAACCCCAGAGCCCTCAGCTCCCCACCCCAGGAAAGTGCATGATGTGCCAATGCTGCCCCATGATCCCCTCATGTCCTTGTGCCATGGAGGCTAGAATTGTTCAGAATTTTTTTTCCCAGGGAGAAATGGAGCAAAAATTAATAATATTTCTTTCCAGGTTGGCTCCTGGGCTGGCCAATGGGTTCCCAGGCTGGCCAGTAGGCTTCCTGGCTGGCCAATATCACCCATGATGCACTAGGTTTTCTTGCTGAATGGCCATAGTACATTATGGGATTGCTTATGATTGTGGTGCCTCATGAGAGAGGAAGTTGGGCTTGGGACCCATTTTGGGGCCATGAGGGGCGAGGTACCTGATGTACAGATCCCTCCAGACCCTGTGGTAGCATTAATTAATTAATTAATTTATTTACTGGTTTCCAGATGAAGTTTTTCTGGCTTTAGTGAAACACTTCTTAGGTTTTCTTGTTCAGGGTTTTTGAGGGAAAGTTGAACTTTCCCCAATACAAAGCAGAACGTTTTTGGCAAACAAAAGTTCTTATGGCTAAACCCAATTCTCCATTGAAAAACACTGCTGCTGATTAATCTTTCACCCAGCCCTTGTTACCTCCTGTGAAGTTCTTCTCCATGTAGTCAATGATCTGGTTGTAATCACTGATGATATTGTCCCCATGGATGATCACAGGTACCTCCTCCCCAAGGTTAAGACGCATGAACCAGGGCTCTTTGTGCTCAATCAGTGGCATGCTGACATCCCGCTCTTCACAGGGCAGCCCCTTCTCCGCAATGACCAGGCGGACCTACAGCAGAAGGTAGAGAAGGGTAGAGAAGGCTCAGGGCTGGTCACCAGGCAGTCTCTGGTGTCCACAGCACTAGGCCCCCTTCTGCGTAGTGAAGTTCACAGGGCTTGTTAGAGCTCTTCATGAAAACAAGCAGTATGTAGAGCATCAATGCTAGGATCACTCCCCGTGCTTCTTCATGCAATGGAGCCATGAGCTTGCAGACCTCCAGAAATTCCCAACTGAAGTATTGTTTCTCTAGAAGGACCATCTATACTATATACTAGTCGTTACTGCTATAAACGGGCACAGTGCCATCAGGTGAGGATATAGTCCAGGCATCTGCATGTATTTGTCTGCATGTATCATCCTACTGCTGACTCACTGCCTTTCAGCCAATAGGAGTGCAATATGTAATTAGCTGAGGAGGAGAGCAAGGATCACGAAGCACTTCCTCCGCAGGAACAGTGAGCATAGCAGAAGGCAAAGTGTAGAGGAGACAAGGGGTGCAAAAAGAGGGCCAGCCCCGAGTGATAAATCAGTACCACTCCACTGGAACTGAGAGCAATGCAGGGATTTATACTAGCTGGGGAGCTGGCTCTGACGCCTCTAAGGGCAGAGAGGCTGAAAGACTCATGGGGTACATCTACACATGTGATTAATGCACATGAATAAACTCCAAGACTTATTGCTCCAGAGTTTTTTTGCTCATGGGAACACTGTTTGAACACAGCACCCCATGGCAGTCTTACTCGCTTTACCCAGTGATGGTGGCAGTCCAGCTAATGGAGGCTCAGGGTAGGAGCGCAGGCACACCAGTGCTGGAAGAAGCAGCCTTGGTAGGGTGTTTGGTGGGTTTGCTGAGCTGCCCCCTAGAGAAGACAGAATCTCCTTGTAAGAGCATGAAAAGCAGCAGGCATCTCCTGGGAAAGCAGCAGTGCAAGGACAGAGCGGCCTGGCATTCTAGCCCACTGCCTTGGCCCCCCTCAGTCCCTGCAGTCCCAGCCTCAGAGGGGAGAGAGCCTTCCCTTTTGTAGCTCCCACTGGGAAAACACCTTACCCAGTATATCCACCTCATTGTCCTGCCACTCATTCCTCTTTTGCCTCTGACCTCCTCCCCCATCTCTCTCATTTCTCTTTGTGAAGTATTTGTGGTGAAGGGTTTCATATAAAGGGCTGTTCAACTTCTAAACGGTGGGGGGCTGCATGCCTCTTAAGCCACACTAGCAAAAGCCACATCAGTGGGGACCTGGGCCTCAGCCACATGCCACCTCTGTGCTGCCATTGACCTGAGCACCCAAGTGCTCCCTACTGCTGTACTGCATGCCCAAGCACCCCTCCCCACTGCCTGCCTTGCCCATGCTCTCCTGCTGCACTGACTGCTCAGATATTCTGGGCTGCTAGCTAGGGCTGTGCAAAACAGCACCGTCCTGTTTCGACTTGCGTTTCAACATTTCAATGGAACAGCATTTTGTTTCAATTTCGTTTCAATTCAAAACCGCTGTTCCATTTTGTTTTGTCAAAACGGTTTTGCTGTTTCGATGTTTCACCCATAGGCTATAATGGGGAAGCTCAAAACAGCCTATAACATTGTCATTTCTGGCCTAATTTGGATGAAACATGCAAGAATGGCAGCCCCTTCTGAGGGCATGAAGCCTGCCAAGTTTCAAGGAGATAGGTACAGGGGTTTCAGGGAAACTGCACCTCAAAATCTTGAAAGCAAACAACTCATGTCACGTGTGTTAAGCCACAGTGCGGTCAAAACTCCAGGCATGCTAGCCCCTGCTGAGGCAACAAAGCCTGCCAAGTTTCAAGGAGATAGGTGCAGGGGTTTGGGGGAAACTGCACCTCAAGTTGCTGATGAGCAAAACTCGTGACATGGGTGACGGTGCGTGTGTTAAGGCACAGCAGGGTGAAAACTGCAGGCCTGCTAGCCCCTGCTAAGGCCATGAAGCCCCTGAGGAACAGGTGCATTCCCTGCAAATCGCAGCAGGAGGCCCGTGGGGCTGGGCAGCGGGGACGAAGCCCCGCAGGTTTGTGTACAGCTGCGCAGTTTCACCAGTTGGTGGGGGGAGTCCCAGGGTCCTTCCCTGCTCACGTGGGAATTACTGGGTGTGTGCGAAATGGCACCGTTCCATTTCAACTTGTGTTTTGATGGAACAGTGTTTCGTTTTGAATTTCATTTTGATTCAAAACCGCTGCTCCGTTTCATTTTGCCGAAACAGTTTTGCTGTTTCAATGCTGTTTCAACATTTCACCCGTAATCTATAATGGGGAAGCTCGATACAGCCTATAACTTTGTCATTTCTTGCCTGATTTGGATGAAACATGCAAGAATGGTAGCCCCTTATGAGGACATGAAGGTTGCCAAGTTGCAAGGATATAGGTGCAGGGGTTTCAGGGGCACTACACCTCAAAGTCTTGAAGGCAAAAAACTCATGTCACGTAGATGTGTTAAGCCACAGTGGGGTCAAAACTTCAGGGATGGTGGCCCCTGCTGAGGCAACGAAGCCTGCCAGCTGTGAAGGAGATCGGTGCAGGGCTTCTGGGTTCTGGGCCCTGCACCTCTTGCTGCTGGCAGGCAAAACTCGTGACATGGCTGCTTGTGTTAAGGTGTGCCCTCACTCAACTGACACCAAGGCAGAAAGCAGGGCAGTTCAAATAATGCTGCCCTTTATGCAGTTTTTCCATCCCTCCCCCAGAGCACTGGGATTGGAAGGGACCTCAGGGAAGTCACTGGCCAGCTGCGCAGTCAATAACAAGAGCACTCCTTCCTCCCCTTCCTCCATCTTCCCCCTACCTCTCTTTACTTTAGTTTCTGTTTCGCTGCAGGCAGGCCCAGCTTGAGCTTCAAAACTCGAAACGTTTCGAAAATTTCAAAACATTTTGATTTGCCTCGTTTCGTTTCGAGGCTGTTTCGAAGTTCTCCGTTTCATTTTGATTTTGCTGTTTTGAGCTCGAAACGAGTCAAAACAGTGCCAAAACGAAACTGCAGGTGAAATTTTGCGCAGTCTTACTGCCAGCTCTCCTGGCATCACAGACTGTGCTGTGCTGCACCCCATGGGTCTCTGAAGCTACTACAGCCAGAGCAATAGGGGGAGCGGTGGCTAGGTGGGAGCCGGAGGACTGCAACTGAACCCCTCACGGGCCTCATGCAGCTTGCAAACAATCAGTGGGACAGCATTGTCCTGCAAGATGAAGTTCCCTTCTGGCCTATGGCTGGTTTCCTTCATTCTCTGAGTTTGCGTTTGGCAATAAAGCAGAGCCTTGGCTCCTTGAGGCCCCCTGTTCAGTGCTTCTGCTGCTTGGTTTGAGCAGGAAATGGGGAGGTGACACTCCTGGTTTCCATACCCAGCTGTGCCACTGGCCCACTCTGCACCTGAACAAGGTCCTCTCCTCTTCCCTGAGAGGCAGTTACCTCTGGGTGTAACTGCGCACTCGGTCATTACCGTTCCTATGCAGCCTTTGGCACCAGAGAATCGCATTTCCCATTTCCTCCAGCATGCCTCTGAACAAACTCTGAAAGGAGCTTTGGCTGCCTCTGCCTGTAACACCCAGTGTGCTAACAAAAGTCTCATGCTGGGTTTGCTTGAGAGTTGGGGATGGCAGTTGCTTATGTGTGCTGCAGTCATGTTGCTTTACTTTCTGCTCCATCTCTCCCAATACATCTTGTTTCATTTTCCTCTGTGCTTTCACCTGACACTGTGAGAAGTGCAGGGAGGCTGGAGCTCAGGCAGTGCATGCCTGGAAGAGCACGGCCCCAGAACTCAGAGAGCCTTGGTCTAAAGATGTTCACTCCAATCACAGTGAAACTCAGGTATCTCCCTACCACCTGTTTGTTGCACCCTTTTGCTTGCACTGCCTATTTTACCCTTACTTGCTCTCACCACCCATAATACCACAACTTCTCCTGCCACCTGCTACTCTCCTCTTTGTCCTGATGCCCATGACATCCCTCAACTTCTTGCCTCCTATCTGTTCCCTTGCCAGCCTGTTCCTCCTTTCTCATTATGTCCTGATATTCTCCTGCACTCAGTTTCTAGTACAGGACAAACACATGGGGATAGGCATCAGGGAAAGA